TTTTATTTTTTTTTTTTTTTTTTTTTTTTTTTTCTTTTGCTGTTTCTCTTTTAAGTCTGTAGGGAGACTTGGTCTTCCCAGGGGCCCTTTTATAAGCTACCTTTTGATCCTCAGAAAAATTCAAAAATAAGTAAAAAGTGGGGTTTTAGAAAAGCCCTTTTCATTGGGCTCTATATCTTGGAGTATATGGTTGGGGATAAGCTTGGTAAAGGCTCCTGGCTGGATGTGAGAACCATCAATATTTGTACTTAGGGTCCCCCAAGGTGGCCAATGAGGGGATCCATCCAGTGCAGTTTGGGGGGGTGTCTCAGATGGGTACAAGAAGGCTTCAGCATGAAAGCCTAGAAATCCAGTACACTTTCTTCAGAGAACTACCCTGGGCCCTCTCAGAGTCTGGAAAACTGATTGTTGGCTGGTGTTTTGTAGAGCAGGCAGATAGAAAGGAGGTACCACTGAAAATCTTCACTGTCATCTGCTGGGAATATTAGTTTACATTTCTACCTTAGGTGCTTCAACAGAGCACTGGGATTCATTGCTAGAGAGTTAGAAAACCTCTTCTGGCCAATAAAGGTAGAGCTGAACCTAAGGCTTAACATCTTTGAGCTCTGCAGCCCGTGGGGTGTTTCGAGACTTGAGCTAGGTAAGCACCACTCTTCTTTCCTCCTGAAGTTGTGATGGCCCTTTTTGTTCCAGGATGCATTGATGATGTCTTTGGTGACCTCCTGGGGGATGACAGTAAGTGCCCTGTCCCCAAAATTCTTTGGTCTAGGCCTGTCTTTTTTGTTGTTTTTTTATTTTTTTGAGACAGGGTCTCACTGTTAGTTCAGGCTGGTCTTGAACTCACATCAGTCCTCCTGCCTCAGCCTCCCAAGTGCTGGGATTACAGGCATGAGCCACCACACCTGTCCTAGGCCTATTCCTTAAAAAAAATATAGGTATGGGGGCCAGGGATTTAGCTCATGGTGCCACTGCCTGCCTTGCAAGTGCAAGGTCCTGAATTCAATCTCAGGTACCACAAAAAAAAAAAACCCAAAACAGTGTATGTGTGTGTGTGTGTGTGTGTGTGTGTGTGTGTGTGTGTGTGTGTCCACGTGTGCATGGTGGTAAACACTTGTAATCCAAACACTGGGATACCATCAAGGCAGGAAGATCACAAGTTCTAGCCTAACCTGTGCAATTTAGTGAGACCTTTTATTAAAAGTTTTAAAAAGTTTGGGGATGTATCTCAGAGCAAAGGCCCTGGGTTCAATCCCTATTACCACTGGGGAGGGGAGAAGAGATATAATTCACATGTCAGTTGGTTGTAATGACACATGCCTGAAATCCTAGCCCTTGGGAGGCTGAGGTAGGAGGAATCACAAGTTAGATGCCAGCCTGGGATATGTAATGAGGCCAGTTTGGACTACGTAGTGGGACCTTCTCTCAAAAACAACAAAACCAAAATTTTTTAAAATAAGTAATTCCGGGCTGGGGATTTAGCTCAGTGGTTTGGTGGCCAGCCTTGCAAGCGCAAGGACCCAAGTTCGATCCCCAGTACCAAAAATAAATAAATAAATAATTCCCATGTCACAATATTTGCTCTTTTATTTATTTGTTTATTTATTTATTTTCAGTACAGGGGATCGAACTCAGGACCTTGCAAGGCAGGTGCACTGCCACTGAGCTAAATCCCCAACTCCCTGTATTTGCTTTTTTAGGGTTTTTTCTTTCTTCTTCTTTGGTACCAGGGATCGAATTTGGGTTCTTATGCTTGTGAGGCAGACAGCAGCACCACTGAGCTAAATTCCCAGCCCTGTATTTGCTCTTTTAAAGTGTGCAGTGTACTTGGGAAGCTGAGGCAGGAGGATTGCTGTGAATTCAAGGTAAGCCTGGACTACATAATGAGTTTTAAGCCAGCCTGAGCAAGACCTTGTCTCAAAAGAAAAAAAACAAAGTGCACAATTCAGTGGAATTTACAATATTTAAATGCCGTACTCTGCATCTCTGCTGTGATTATCTGTAGCTAAGTGACCACATCCAAATTTCAAAACATTTTCATAACCCTGTAAGCTCTACACACATTGGTCTTTACTCTCCCCTAACCCTAATCTTAAGCAGCCATTTATTTCCTTGTGGAATGGCCTATTGTGGACATGTTATATGACAGAATCGTACAGCATCTGGCCTTTACATCTGGCTTCTTGCACTTAGCATAATGTTGTCAAAGTTCTCTGGTACTCTAGCATGTACCTTATTCCTCTCTGTGGCTAAGTAATAGCCCACTATGTGGCTATACCACATTTCTATTTGTTCATTGGTTGATGGACGTGTGCATTATTAACATATTTGGGCTATTATGGGTAATTCTATTAGGAATGTTTGTGTACAAACTTTTGTGTGGACATGTCTTCAGATCGTTTGGCTAGGCGTCTAATTTCTGGACCATAAAGTAACTATATAACTTTGTTTGGTACCGGGGATCGAACTTGGGACCTTGCACTTGCCAAGCAGGTGGTGAGCTGTAACCCTGGCCCACTGTTTAACTTTTTGAGAAACATCTAAATTTTTCTCCATAGTAGCTGCACTCTTTTACGTCCCCACCAGCAACGTCAGATGTCCTGGTTTCTCCACATCCTTGCTAATACTTCCTTTCCATCTTTTTGGTTATGGTCGTCCTTATGACTGTGTCCCATTTGTTGTGCATTTCTCTAATGCCTGGTGAGACTGAGCATCTTTCATGTGTTTATTAGCATATATACAGTATACCCCTTTTTTTTTCTGAGATAGGGTCTTGCTCACTTGTCCCGGCTGGACTCAAACTTGTAATTATTATAGGCAGCTAAGTTAGGTAGAAATTACTATACAGTCAGAGAGGGATTGGGTCCACCCTCAAAGAAGTCAGCACAAAAAAATAAAGACCTCAAGGGCCGGGGATTTAGCTCAGTGGCATTTGCCTTGCAAGCACAAGGTCCTGAGTTCAATCCCTGGTACCAAAAATAAACAAATAAATACCTCAAAATTGTAGCTAGAGACCAATGAGAAGAGAACCAGACCCCTAGATGAAAAAGCAATAGCCAGTAGCTAGGCTGCATGTCTCCCTGGAGATATACAGCAACTTGAGATTATACTGTAATTAGCACCACCCAGTCCAGTAAGTCCAGATAGGCATCAGACACCCAGGCAGGTGACGAGAAGCTCTGGACCCATCCCTTCCCAAAACATCTTTGTTCTTTCTGTGCACCCTTGCTACATGACTTGTTTGCCTCTTGGATCAGTATTATTTAACTGGCTATACTTGTAATCCTGTAGGTTGATGGTAGTTTGACCCACATTTGTACCCATGTTATGACCGCTTTATAAATTACCCCTGACAAAGGGCCTCAGTAGCAACCCCTTTCAGAACCCCTTCCTGGAAATCTAGGAGATACTCTTTTCTCCTTATTTCCGATGTTGTGACACCACTAACTCGGCACATTTGACATCTGACATGTCAGGAGTATTTTTCCCATATCATGGTATTCATGCCTCAGCCTCCCAGGGTGTTAGGGTTACAGGCATGTGGCTACCACCTCCAGCTCTATCTGTATCTTTGGAGAAATATTTACTCAGACCCTTTGCCCATTTTAATTGGGTTATTTGGCATTTGATTGCTGAGTTGTAAGAGTCCCTTAGGTATTGTGGCTGCTGGCATCCGTCCTTTGTGTCCACAATGCTGTGCCGAGGAGCAGGGCTACAGGGTCACACCCAGCTCTCCAGGGACAGCAAGACTTAGGCTTCTTCCACATGACAGGAAGAACCCATAAAGCACAGGTTCATAGATTCCACCTTCCCCTGGGGGGTGTTGGGTGGGATTGAGTTACTTGTTTAGCATTCATTGGTATCTGGGGTTGACGTCCTTCCTGGCAGTGCTCCAGCACCTCCTTCGTTCAGGTTTTTCAGGGAATAGTGTTGGGAGCTGCCCTGTCGTCCTTGAAAGGTGGGGGGTTCGCTGTCCTTTACATCTCTACTGTGGTTGTATGGAGTTAAGTGACACCTTTTGTTTTCCCTTGTCTCAGCTACAAGCCCTGAGAAGCCTGTTGAACCAGCTCCTTACAACAGAGATGCCAGGGATGTACCTCAGAAGCTCCCTTCTTCAAAGGCTAGAGGAAGGTAAACACTGGTTGGCCTGGCTCTGCCCCTCTGCTCCATTTCTCTTGGTATGTACCCACTGGGAGTGGCAGGAATTTCCACACCTTCCCTCCACTTCCCGTTATTGGAGGGGCCCAGGAGGATGGAAAGAGGACTGACTGGGAGGTCAGAAGACCTGGTGTCTAGTCCTAGATAGTCCTGCTACTGGGGCAATTCCTGAATTTCTCTAGCCTCAATTTCCTTATCTTCAGAATAAGGGAATTGAGTGATGCATGCCTATAATCCTGGCACTCAGGAGGCTGAGGCAGGAGGATCGCTGTGAGTTCAAGGCTAGCCTGGGCTACATAGGGAGTTTGAGACCAGAGTATACTATATAGCAAGACCCTGTCTTGACACCCCCGCAAAAAAATACCAGAATAAGAGAACTGGTCTAGATCAGTAGTTTTGAAATTGTTCTCCCTACAGATGAATAAAAGAGCTTTGTGATGTTTCACCTGCATTTTAGTTAGAGCAGTTGTTGCTCTTTCTTACCTTTTAACTGATTGATTGATTGATTAATATGAGGTGTTTTGTTTTTGTTTTTGTTTTGAGACAGGGTCTCCCTATGTAGCCCATGTTGGCCCTTGGACACACTGTGTTGCCCAGGCTGGCCTCAAACTTGCAGTGATCCTCCTGCCTCAGCCTCCCGAGTGCTGGTATTACAGATGTGCACCACCATGCCCAGCTTGATTGATTGATATTTTGAGTCAGGGTCTTGCTGGCCTCAAACTTGAAATCCTCCTGGCTTAGTCTGCAAAGTCAGTTTGTTCTTAAAGCAAAGCAGTACCAAAGAATGCCGTGTAGACTCCAAGCTAGGAACATAGGCTTGAGCCACTGTGTCCCACTAAGTTTTCACTAGGGATTAAACCCAGGATCTTCACACTGAACTATATCCCTGGCTTATCTTTCCCATCTACCTATTATCTATCTGTCTATTCATTTTGACACAAGGTCTCACTAAATTGCCCAGGTAGTGCTCAAACTTGTGATCCTTCTGCCTCAGCCTCCAAATTACTAGGATTACATACATGTGCCACTGCTCCCAACTAGCAATTTGTGTGTGATGGTTTTTGTTTGTTTGTTTTTTGTAGTTCAGGCTGGTGCTGAACTTACTATGTAGCCTCGGCTGGCCTCGAACTGGTGGTGATCTTCCTGCCTCAGCCTCCCAACTGCTGCAACAATTTGTTTTTAAAAGGCTCTGCTGCTTTACAAAAGTGCAAGATCACTGTACTAGGTGGCCCGTGAAATTCTTTTTTCATATCTGTTTTCCTGGCGTACCTCCAACTTCTTTTCAACCCTTTATGCTACTCTTTTTTTTTTTTTTTTTTTTTTTTTTTTTGTACTGGGGATCAAACTTGGGACTTTGTACTTGTGAGGCAGGTGGCAGCAGCACTGAGGTAAATCCCCGGTCCTAAGCTATTCTTTTTTTTTTTTTTGATGGTCATAGTGCTGAGATGGAACACAGGGCCTCACACATGCTAAATACAGCTTCTACCACTGAGTCCCCCAGTCGTCATATTTTAGGGTCATCTAGTGCCCTCAGCACGAGGGTTGGTGCCATTCTAACCCTCTGCAGGTCCTTCTGGGAAGATGAAATCTTTGACACCTCAGGAGGCCTGGCAGGTGCTGATACAGAGGTGAGTCTGATTCCCAATTCTCAGCTTCTGTACTTAACCCCATGAAGACCAAGATTGGTGTGGTGGCCAGCGAGCTGCTCACAGAAATCAATTTGTTCTTAAAGCAAAGCAGTACCGAGGGGATGCCGTGTAAACGCCAAGCAGTGTCTGCCTCCTTTTCCCCAGAGTGATGAGCTAGACAGTAGAGCTTGAAAGTCTTTGGGGTTTGAAATTGTCCTGAGAAACTGCACACCATCTGCTCACATGATGGGAAGTAGCCTAACATGGGTTCTGTGATGAAAGTTGTCGTTCCAGTTGGGAGGGACAGAAAGCGGCAGAACTTTAAGGGTCTCCACAACTGAGTGGGTTTGACTTCTCACAACCACTAAGCTCGGGGGGGAGGGGCTTCTGTTTATGCCCCTGCAGGCCATGTGCTCCCACAGAAGCAAGGTGACAAGGAGCTGGAGCCCTGAGTGGTACTGGGCCTAGACTAACATGCGTCTCATCTTTGTCCTCGCCTCCTGTGGGCTCAGGCTTCTGACATCTCAGATGCAAACCCGCAGGCCTTGCTACAGGCCATAAAGGTAGGGGAAAAGCCTTACAACCCTCAGGGCTGGGGCTGGGTGAACTATTAATATTTTGTGTAAAGACTTTATCTCCCTGTACAACTTCTTCCTGTACAACTTGGGTTTCTGAGCCTTTCCTAGTGCAGCACAGAGCTCTCACCCTGAGCTTTGGCCCTTCTAGCCCTCTGAGTAGAAACCTTTTCCCTGTCACCTCCTAGCGAGTCACCTGCTTGGGTTCCCTCTGCCCCCCAACACCACCTGAGGGAACAGAATGAGGAGCCTTCCCTTCTTAGATCCAGATTTAGTTTCTTAAACCTCAGCCTGAAATCTCCCCCTAAGGCCAGCTAGCTATGACCCCAGGCATACCTGACCCACAAATGGTCTGACTCAATTTTGGGGACCAATTTTGAGTCATTCCAGAATCATGAGCCAAACCTAGGCAGGCCTCAAACACCCAGTGATTCTCCTGCCTCAGCTCCCCAAGTGCTGGGATTAGGGGCATGCACCACCATACCCGACTGCCACCCCGCTCTGTTTACCTTTGATTCCATTTTCTTTTCTAACTCACCATTTTTCTCAATTTGCTTTTTCCTGTCACAGTTCTGCCCCTAGCTGTCTGTGGCACTTGGCTGGAAGTTCTCTTCCCATCACCATAATGAGACAGCTGAGGCAGCTGATATGTCAAGAGAGACTGTGTATTTAGCTCACAGCTTTAGAGGTTGAAGACCCAAGATGAAGTTGGGGTCGGGGAGACTGATTTGGTCTCTGATGAGGGTGGGAGATGGTGGCGCATCATGCAGAAGCATAGAAGCAAATGGTTACATCTTGAACCAAAGCAGAAAGGAGATGGATGCAGTCACATAGCTCCTTTCAAGGGCAGGTCCTCAAGGAGCTAAGGACCCGCAGACTCCACCTCCAGTACCACCCTGGGGCCAGGCTTTCATAAGGACCTTTGGGGGACCCTAGCTCCTTCCCAGATATCATGATCCATCATCCTCCCTGCTGTTCTAGGATCTGGACGACATGGATGCCGATCTCCTGGGTCTGAAGAAGTCTCCAGCCTCTGACAGAAGGGTAGCAAAGGGTTCTGGGAGAGAAGAGCTGCCTCTCCATCCTGAACCTGCTGGCAAGTTAACAGCCAGTGAGAAAGGTGAGTGGAGAATAAGTCCCCGGGGGAGGCTTTGGGATCATGGAAACTGCGTAGAAAGAAAGAAAAGATACCTTGATGTCTTGTGGGTTTTCTCTGCTTGGAGAAAAGAGAATAAGGAGCTAATTGTGTGTGTGTGTGTGTGTGTGTGTGTGTGTGTATGTTTATAGCACAGAAGGGGCTGTTCTAGTCATTCTTAAGTCCATTGTGGGCACCTCCTGGAAGACTTTTTTGAGTTAAAATGGAAATTTGGGTCAGTAGGGTTGTAGCTCAGTGGTAGAGAACTCACCCAGAATGCGTGAAGCCCTGGAGTACAAAAACAATAATAATAATTTCTAAAAGGTAAATGTGATGGTAGCCTGTGCATCTCCCAAACCCATTCCTGTCTGGAGTGATTTATGACAAGCGGGCAGATGCACCTTCCTACCACGTTTTCCTGCCAGCAGAAGGGGTGAGGACTGGTGGGTGGGAATCCTCCTCAGCTGTACCCACAGCCTTGAGCCTCACTCTAGAAGGAAATGTAAGTACCCCAGTCCAGGGTGTACAGGAGGAGCTTAGACAAGTAAAGGCCTAGGCCCAGGGCTGCTTTCTCTGTTCTTCCTGCAGGGGACACCAGTCCCACCAGAAAGCCACCTCCCTCTCCCCACAGTTTTGAGCATCAGTACAGGAGGTTTTCTTCTGAAGGTACCAGAGACTCCCCAGTCCTGCTTCTGGACCACTCTGTTTATTTGTTTGTTTGTGGTACTAGGGGTTGAACCAAGGGGCTTTGCACTGAGCCGCATCCCCAGCTCTTTTATTTTGAGACAGGGTCTTTCTAAGTCACTAAGTTGCCCAGGTTATAGGAATACTGTAGTTTGACATAGCCCTTGTTTTGTTTTGTTTTGGTTTTGGTACTGGGGATCAAACTCAGGATCTTGAGTTTGTGAGGCAGGCAAGGTGCCACGGAGCTAAATCCCCAGCTGAGACAGCCTTTATAATGCTTACCTGCCTGTCTGAGGCCAAGTTACTGTGTGTATCAGAGGAGGAACAGAGAGCTTGTGCCTCACTGTAGTTCCTTATGAACTCTGCAAGGGACTAGTTGTGCTGTTCCAGGAAACCTGAAGTATAGGGAGAAGTCCCTTTCCCTTCTCAGCGCATGAATGTTTTCCTTCTCTTTGATGCCTCAGGGACGTTTCCAGAAGCCCATGGGGCCAACAGAATCAGAGGGCCCTTGGGTTCGCCTAGCTCTCCTCCCATGCACAGCCTCAGCTCTGTGTCCCAGCCTCCCTTGCCATAGGCCCTGCCCTGCATAAGTTGAGGAGCTTCTTTGTGCTCAAGTGATAGCTGCCCCAGCTTCTGGCCTTTTTTCTTCAACAAAGTGCCACAGTCTGACTTCTGCTTTCCTTTCTGGCGATAAGACTTGGAAGAGCCATTGGCAGGACTACTCTCTGATGATGAAGAAGGAATTGCCAGGAAACTGCCAGTGACAGAAAGTAAAACCACTTGCAACAAGACACCCAGCACAGTCAGAGGTCCAGGTAAGGCAGGGAGGCTTGTTCCTCATCCTGGGAGAGACTGTGTGGACTACAAGCCCACTGGACCAGAGCCCTCAGCCAGGCAAGATCACAGGTCTCAGGTCCAGGACCAAGAAACGATCAGTCTCTGGGAGCAGGGAAGTGGACACATGGGCCTGCGGTGGAGTGGGGGCTAGAGTCCGATGGGCAGACCCATGCCCACTGCCCCACCAGACGCTCGGGGTTGCAGAGACTCACCCATGTCAGCCCATTCGGTCTCCATGGAGGGCAAGAAGGCAATGAGCACTGAGCCTTGGTTCTGTCTTCAGGGCCCTCTATTCCTCTCACTCCTGGGGACACCCCCATCCGAAAGAAAGAATTACTGTTTGATGATGGGGATGACATCATGGCCACCCTCAGGTTTGGAGACAGCCCCACGGCAGAGCGGAGGCAGATGGGTGACCAGTAAGCATCCACACGGGTGGGGAGTCTCTGGCCCCAGGAAAAACTCAAGGGTGGGGACAGCGGGAGCCACCAGGAGTCCACATAGTCACACACTCCTTCCCCACATCCCATCTTGCAGGGAAGGGCCCCGGCTTGCTCGCTCCAAGCTTGATGAGCTGCTGGGTCGAGGCACAGCCACCAAACTCCTGGCTCGCCCAGGAACTGGAGAACACAGGGAGTTCAAGCTAGATAAGAAGTTCCAGAGGTCACAGGGTGAGGAAGCCTTGGGGAAAGGATGGGCCAGGACCGGAGGGCAGAGGTTTTTACCACAACAGGTAACAAGAAGTAACTTTACGTCACAGTACACATATTACTAAATACATCTATACCTGTGACAGATGTGCTGGGATGACTTTCACTCTCATCCCACCCAGTACCCTGTTGCTCTTTGTAGATGCTGTTGGATGAATGACTATTCTTGTTGTCACTTGTCACGTTAGTTAGTTTTTTTTATTTTTCCAGTACTGAGTACAGAGCCTTTGCATTAAAAAGGCATCCCCAACCCTTTTCCTTTTTTAAAATTGTGTATGTTGAGATAGGATCTAGCTAAATTGCTAAATTTCCCAAGCTGGGCTTAGACTTTTAATCTTCCTGCCTCAGCCTCCTAAAGTCCTGAGATTACAGCCATACTCTACCGTGCCCAGCTCAGGGTAGTTTCTTGATCCTCTGAGAGACAGCAGCTCACAGTTTGAAAACACTTCTGTGGACCAGTGTTTCTCAGAGCATTGGCCCAATAGCCATCTGTTAAGATTTATTCTGTGACACACACAGCCCACTGGGCCTGTCCTTAAAGAAAGGAGGGCAGGCCCCAGCCATTATGTTTTCATAGCTTCTGGCTGGTCCTGTGCAGCCACAGTGCTTCCTCCAGGGCAACCCTGCCTCAGCTTGTCTTGCTTGTCCCCTGCCAGTTTGGCATTTCTTGTCAGAATCCTGCAGGGGCAAAAGCTGGGCTTCCCAGGGCTGGGGACACAGCTCAGTGGAAGAGCACTTGCCTAGCATGTGCCAGGCCCTTGGTTCCATCCCCAGCACTACCAAAAAATGAAAATTTTAGCTTCCCCTGTGAAGATTCTAGAACATAGTCACAGGCTCCTTCATTTCAGACAAAGAAGATCCCTGGGATGATGAAATCCTCACCTTTGGGGCATACCAGCCCACCTTGGGGTCCTCCGAGGGCCGGCAGGCCCGTCGACAGTCTGTCAGGTGAGCAGGGCCTGCAGGGAGCTTGGCCTGCGAGACAGGCTGGACACTGGGGACAGGTCCCCACAGCTCTCCCTGACCCACACGATGGTCTTGTGCGGGGCTTAAAGCTCTAGGATCTGAGTGCTATGGGAGAAGGAGGCTGCCCAGGAGTCCAAGCAGGGGGTGGAAAGAGTCCCCACAGAACGGTGATCTCAAACTCTTCCCCAGCTAGCAGCTTCAAGTCCCCACTAGGGACTGCTTGGGAGTGAAGGCAAGATGGCCTCCTCTTCCTGAAGCCTCCTGAAAGCTGTAAAGGGTGTGGTATCACTTGGTCTCCCTGGGAACACAGCCCCGGGGTCATTGAGACCATGAGCCTGTGGCAGTGGCAGCTCCATTCTGTTGCCCATCACATTGCTGGTGGACCTGCCCAGCTAGTCCTGACCCCGCACTCTTCCCAGTTTGCAACAAAATTAAGTCAGTGATGAAGTTTTCTGAATTTGGGATTTTTTTCCCAGCATAAAGCTGTTGTTGCTGTTGCTGTTTGTCTGTTTTGGATTTTTTTTTCGGTACCAGGAATCCAACTCAGGACCTTGTGTTACTGAGCTAAGAGCTCCCCAGCTCTTTGTTTTGATTTTTTGAGGCAGAACCTCACTGTGTAGCCCATGCTGACCTCGAATTCACACCAGTCCACCTGCCTCAGCCTCCCAAGTGCTGGGATTACAGGCGTGTGCCACCAACCTGGCCAAGTAAGCAGACCCAGCATAGTTTAAACTGTATTTTGAGGTAATGTCAAACTTAGAGAAAAGTTGTAAGAACTGCCCCCTTCACCTAAGATCAGCAGTGGTCAGCACTGAGCACATTGGCCGTGACTGCCTCTTTCCATCTGAATACTTGTATTCCACATTGATATTATTTCTAGAACATTCTTTTTTTTTTTTTTTAATTGGTTCTGGATTGAACTCAGGGCCTCCCAGTTGCCAAGTATACACTGTACCACTGAGCAACATCCTCTGCCTCTCGATCCCAGAACCTAAACCTAGGAGCCTGCAGCTGTTGGTCAACAACATCTGTAGGCAGTGGCTGTATAAATGAGTTGGTAACAGCTCGCAGAGTTACCCCTGGTTTGTATAACAGAAGTCAAAAGCCCATATTTCTTGATGTTCTATAGATAGCACACTACCAGCCACTGTCCTTTCTCTTGCTGTGCAGTCTGTGGGCCTCATAGTCCCCCAGCACAGAAGGAAAGGCTGGAAAGAGGTTCTTAGGGGACAGCTGCCTCCCTGGCCTGACACCTCTCTCTTTGTTCCGAAACAGATTCTTAGCAGAAGGTGGCCCAGACCCCAAGGGAGAACCAGGCTCCAAATGGAGCCCTCCAATGGCTGCCAGCCCCATCCACCCCAGAAAGGGAGGAGCTGACTGGTTGGGCCTCAAGGATGAAGACTTAGACCTGCTCCCTCCCTCTCCAACCCACGAGCCACAAGGAGGAGGCCCAGCGATCTCTACATCCTCCATCCCTCCTTCCGTGAGCCAGCACTCGGCCCCAAGCCTGCATTCTACCCCTGCTGGGCTGCCTTCCTCGGGTGCGAAGCTACCAGCTGAGGGTGCCATGTCCCCTGCCAAATCCAGCCAAGCTGCTCAGCTGAGAGCATCCAGGGAGAAAGAGGAGGAGGGGGACTGGCTGAGCCATGTCTTGTCTCAGAAGAAGTCCCAAGGTCTGGCCAGAGAGGAGCACACTGGGGCCTATAAGACCCTGAACCTGGCAGGCTCTGCCCCTTCTGGCAGGTATGAGTTTGGACTGCTGTGTCTAGTGGGGAAAACTGGGCAGTGACCATGAGCTTTGCTTCCCTTTTTGGAGACAGCAGGGAGAGCTACAGGCTCTGCCCAGGTGTGGGACATGGGAGACATGAGAGGACAGAGGGCACCCTGGGGTGGTGGGCTCTGCTGTTCTCTGCTTTTGAGCTGGGGCCCTGCCCCCAGAGCCCTCAAGCTGTCAAACCAGTGGGTGTGTTATTGGTGTTTCTGTTGACCCAAGCTAGAGTGACTAAAGTATGGATGAGCTGAGATTCCCGTGTGCTTTTGGGCATGTTTGAGAAGACCAACTGGCTGAGGGGCAGCTCCAAGGGAGCCACAGAGTGGCCGTCCAGTGGGGCAGAATCCTGAGAGACCTCTGAGGGCAGGAAGGCGGGTGAAAGGGGCCTCAAGGCAGGAGCTCCAGGGAAGTAGTGAAATGCTCCACTCAGAGCTGAGGGGAGGAGACTTGATGGTTTTGTGAGTCCTGGGACATCACTAGTCCTGGGGCTGGGGTGGTGGGAGGTTGACTTTGACTTGAAGCCAAGAGAAAAATTGAGACCCAAACATAAAAGACTGCAAGCTGAGAAGGGAGGTGGGAATTACAGAAAATAGGGTAGCCTGAAGGTGGCAGCCCTGGGGGGCAGTTGAAGAGAGCAGCAGTGTAAGGCTTAACAAAGCTCGGTGAGCCCAGGCAGGCTTTGAAGTTGAACTCCTATGTGCGTTACATGCCTGTCACTCTGTGGACAGTGTCCAGTTGCACGCCACAGTGGACACTGAGGTGGGGAGCAGGTCCTGGAAGGGAAGGGAAGCCATAGGCCCTGGGAGCTCAGACTTGGGAGAATTCTCCAAGTCTGGTGGGAATAGCAGGGCCAAGGGAAGCAGGGAGAGAAGAGAAACCCTGGCAGCTCCACTCTGCAAGCTCGTCTAGGGCCGTCTGCAGCCTCACCTGGGCCTCCCGTCACCTTCACCTGTAACGTGGTCTGCCCTCAGCCAGCCCGTTGCCAGGCTTCAGGGGCTTGAGCAGGCAGCTGCTGGAAGGACCTCAGGAGGAGCAAGAGCACAAGAAGCACTGGCTGCCGGGCCTGACGCTGCGGGGCCTGACGCTGTGGGGTATGTCTGCTCCGAGGGCTGAGAGAGCAGCGGTGGGGCCCCTAGAGGTGGGGAAGTCCAGATGACTGACTGGCTCTGTGGTATTTGACACCTCTGCCAGGCCCACTGGTGACAGAACAGTTGCAGGCTGTGTCCCATCGCCTTAACCAGCCGGGTCCTGCACACCTAGGAAACTGTTGGCTTCTGGGCTTTCCCACCTAGTTGTTTAATCGAAGTTTCCCTTTACCCCTGGTGCCACTGCTCATCTTCTCTCCTGTTCTGCTACAGAGACATCTCTTCACCTTGCTACCCTGTCCGTTTGTCCCCAGGTTCCCCATGAGTTGCAGCCAGGCTGCTTTGGCCCTCTCTGCAGACGACCTAAAGAGGAGAACGGCCGCTGGGGACCCTTCCCACCCTGGTTCGTTTTCTGCTTTGTTTGGTGTCTAACCTTGTGAGGACGTGGTACCTAGAGTTCCGCTAAGGCCTATGTAGGTCAGCTGTTCGTCACTGTGACCAAACCAGAGAAAAACAGCTTAGAGGAAGGAAGGTTATTTGGCTCACAGACTCAGAGGCTGCAGTCTGTGGTGATGGGGACACGTGGTGGGCAGCACATCTGGAGCAGAGCAGCTCACCTCATGGCAGACAGGAGGCAGAGAGAGAAGAGAGACGAGTCTGTGCCCGCGCCAGTGCAAGTGGCCTTGGCCCTCCTACCTGGCCCCGTGGGTGTCCCACCCTGCCAGATGGTGCTGCCCACACTCAGGTCAGGTCTCCCAGTCAGCGCTGTCCCACTCTCCAGTCACCTCTGGAAAACCCTCACAGCCGTACCCAGCAGCGTGCATTACTAATTTCCTAGGTGCCCCTTGCCCGGTCAAGTTTGCAGCCCAAGTGAACATCACAGGGCCCTGGAAGATGAGCTCCCAGACACACACAGACCCAGAGCCGGGGGCTCCCCTGGGCCTCCCACTCATTCTGTGCTTCTCTGCTGTTGACTTTTCAGAGCCTACAACTTGTTTCTTGAGCTCCCAGGAGCCCACAGGACTCCCTGTGCCTGTCCAGGTAGGGAGAGGGACAAACCGGCAGTTCTTGGGCCCAGGGAACAATTCTCCCATGCTCAGGGGCAACTCTAGGATTTGGCCATGATAACCTGCCAGGAAGAGTGTGTCAGATATGCCCAGTGTGACTGAATCCAGCTCGCTCTTGCATCTCCCCCGTCCGTGCCCTCCTGAAGTTTTAGCCTCGTGACTTCCACATGGAGTGAATATGACCTGGCCAGCATCAGCAGGGATTTGGAGGCGGCTGTTCCATCTGCAAAGCCTCCCTGATCCCTGCCCTCCTGCCACAACCTCTCCAGCTCTGTCACCTGTGATACCTGGCCCCTGGAAGAGTGGCACCCGCTCTCATGTCCCTGGGAGACAGGGTGAGGGCCAGCTTAGGGAACCAGCTTAGTTTCAGAAGCTTTTATCTTAAGCATGACTGTTTCTTGTCTCCGAAGCTGGAGACCCCACTGGGTAGAATGCTGTGGGGGAGACACTTTCATGACCAGAGCTAAAAGTGGAGGCGCTGCTGACTGCTCATTTGGTCCAGACCTCTCCCATCTGCAGCCATAGCTAAGGGATAAGGCCAGGTGGTCCCCTGAGCAGAGGGCCGGAAGTAGCCCAGCTCAGCTAGCTCCTACCCTGGAATGGCCTCGTCCTTTCCCACAGTCCCTGGTCTCACAGTCGCTGGTGCAAAATCCGCTGCCAGGCACAGGATACCAGAAGCCGCTCCTAGCATCCCAGGCACAACTTCAGAGCAGTGCTGCCCAACTCCAGGCTGAGCTGCTGCAGTGCCAGGCCCAGCTGGCAGAACTGGAGGCCCAGGTGAGGGCTCAGGGCACCTGGTGGTGTAGGCCGGGGACAGTGGGCACATGTCACTCTAAGTGGAGCTTCACCAGGAGGGGAGGAGGGGGAGGCACAAAGCAGCAGGAAGCACAGACGCAGAGGGACCCTGAACTCGTGCTACACTGAACCTCCTGCTGTCCCCTAGGTGCGGAAGTTGGAGCTGGAGCGGACACAGCACAGGCTGTTGCTGGAGAGTCTGCAGCAGCGGCACCAGGCAGACCTGGAGCTCATCGAGAGTGCGCACAGGCAGGTACCCACCCTGCCGACCCTCCTCCTGCTCAGTCTGAGGCTGGCTTGCATCTCCCTGGAGCTGCAAGACCATGGCGATGTGCTCTAGGAGACCCTTCAGAGGTGTCCCTTCAGCAGGAGTCGCATCAAGGTGCTAGAGACCTCGTACCAGCAGCGGGAGGAGCGGCTCCGGAGAGAGAATGAGGAGCTGTCAGCCCAGTATCTGTCACACTGCCAGGAGGCTGAGCAGGCCCGGGCTGAGCTCACAGCTCAGCACCAGCGGCGCTTGGCAGTGGCTGAACAAGAAAAAGACCAGGAGATGGAGCGGCTCCGGGAGCTGCAGCGGTGAGAAAGATCAGGGGCCGTGGGTGGGGAAGCAGCTGGCAGAGATTGGCCAGAGGAGAGCAGAGCCCATGAGATCCAGGCTGCAGTTCTGCATCTTAGCATGGGGTCCCGCGCTTCCCTCAGCCTTGAGGTGAGGACCGAGGCCTGAGCACACTGACCCACTGCCCCTCTACTGAGGTGGGGAGGGGCATGCACAGGGCCCGCGGGGTCCCTAGCCAACTGGGCAGAGCATGGTAGCAAGCAGGCAAGCACCCCGGGCCCAGCCAAGTACAGGTTAATCCATTCACCTGCTGACCCAGTGGAGGCTATGACTAACTCTGTGCTGGTGTGTTGGTCTGCTTGCTTTCTAGCTGAGAGCAAAACTAACGAAAGATACCGATAGTCACTGAGGATAGAGCAGGCCTTTTAAGACTACCCAAATGGCCAGACACAAAGGATTATTCACACAGCTTGCTTTCTTTCGGTTTTTCGGTGTTTTTGTTTTGCTTTGTTTTTTGAGATAGGGTCTTGCTCTGTATAGTTCAGGCTGGCCTCAGATTCGTGGTGATCCTCCTGCCTCAGCCTCCCAAGTACTGCAATTACAGGCGTGTGCCACCACACCCAGCACACACAGCTTTCTTGTTTCCTGTGAAAGGTACCCTTTGCTGAATAATAGGAGGACTGTCTTGGTGATGAGGCATTGAAACACCAAGAAAGATAAGACAGGAGCCAGGGAACTAAGGTGGGGGGTTGAGGAGGAAGAAGAAAAGGAGGAGAAGGAAGAGGAGGCAGAGGGACCACTTGGAGGTTTATGCCTCCCACGGAGAGCTGCCGTGGTGTGTTCTGTGCCATCATCCGTGTGGCCTTGCTCAGAGTAGCCCTGGGCCTTGCCCACCACCTCCCCTCAGGGCATCCATCCTGGAGATGCGCAAGGACCACGAGGAGCAGCTGCAGCGGCTGAAGCTGCTGAAGGACCGAGAGATCGATGCCGTCACCAGTGCCACCTCCCACACGCGGTACGTGTGCCGCCCGGCCCTGCCTACCCAAGGCCCAGGCCTGGGCACCCCAGGACGAGGTGTCCCGATCCTCCTCCAGGTCCCTTAACGGCATCATCGAGCAGATGGAGAAGTTCTCCAGCAGCCTCAACGAGCTGGCCTCCCGTGTGGAAGCCTCGCGCCTCACCACCTCGCAGGAGCGGGAGCTGGGCGTCCGGCAGTGGGATGGGCAGCTGCGAGGTGAGGTGCGCCCCATCTCGGTACCGGGGCCCCCTTGGTGGGGAGGAGGGCAAAGCATTGAGTGCCCTGTGGCCACCCACAGTCCTGCAGGAGCGGCTGGGCCAGCAGCAGCGGGACATGGAGGAGGAGCGCGGCCGGCTCCAGGAGGTCATCGGGAAGATGGAGGCGCGCCTGAGCGAGCAGAGCCGGCTCCTGGAGCAGGTGAGCGTCCTCCTGCACAGGATCCTTCCCTTCAGCCAGTCAGAGTCCCTCCTGCCCCTTCCTGCCGCGGCCCAACCCTCAGCGCTGCCCACCTGAGTACACAGGGCTGCCCGCGCGGACCACCTGTCGCCATTCCCTGGTCCCTGGTCACAAGACCACCCGCTGTCAGCCGCACTTCCCTTGTTCCTTTCTCCAAATCTGTCGCATCAGCCGGGGCTGTGGCATCAGGACAGTTTAACTCCCTGTGCGTCACTGATACATAAAAGCAAGCCTTGTTATTTAAAAGAGAGTCACGTTTTCTTTCTTTTGCTCAGTTGTAACACAGTACATTTCATTGAAAGAAGTAAAATATAGGAAACAATAAAGAAAATTAAAATTACCGCCAGGGATTTGGCTCAGTGGCTCTGCCTCCTGCCTTGCAAGCACAAGGACCCTAGTTCAATCCCCGGTACAAAAAAAAGAGCAAGCAAGAAAGAAAATTAAAATTACCACCAGGCAGAAATGTCCGTGGTTGATAGTATACACCCTGTGCCCACTCCCACCTAGCTACACAATGCTTGTATTTCATGAGCCACACCTGTGCACTCCTTATCCGGAATTGCCAAGCACCTCCTCGGGCCAGGCCCAGTTAGCGTCCTCTGTCACGCCTGCGTGTACCCTGCGCCCCCCCGCACGGTAATAAGTCTGTCTGCGCTCCTCTGCTTGGCCGAGGGGCGACAAGCAGTGGAGCCCTGGAGCTGGTGACTGGGGGCAGGGATGTTGCTGTTCCTCGCCTTAGCCGTGGTGTAGTTGGAGACCTGAGGGCAGGGCCTCCCGGGCACTCCGCACTCTGCTCCTCTTAGGGAAGGAGACACTCGGGGGCTAGAAGATGTAGGAAGGTTTGCACAGCTCCTCGAGGACCACCCAGGCCTGCTGTAGCGTCAGGAGCTGGCCCTCAGCCCTGCCGTGGGCCCTGCAGGAACGCTGGCGAGTGACCGCCGAGCAGTCCAAGGCGGAGTCCATGCAGCGCGCCCTGGAGGAGCAGAGGAGGGTGATGCTCCAGCAGATCGCCATGGAGAGGGGAGAGCTGGAAAGGGCCAAGGTGAGTCGGGCACCGCACTCCACTGCTGACCCCACCACGAGGCCCAGGGACGCTCACTCCCCCGCCTGCCCTCGAACCCAGAGCGCCTTGCTGGAAGAACAGAAGTCCGTCATGCAGAAGTGTGGGGAGGAGCGGCGGCGCCTGGCCATGGAGTGGGCAGAGTTCTCCACACAGCAGAAGCTGAGCAAAGAGCGGGCCGAGCGTGAGGCGGAGCGGGCACTGCAGGTGGACACCCAGCGGGAGGGCACCATCATCAGCCTGGCCAAGGTAGGGCCCAGATCCTCCAGGACAGCCCCTGCCCTTCCGCTGGGTGCATCCGCTCTGGGCCTAGAATGTCAGCGGTGCCCCAGTTCACGAACTCGGCTCTCTCCACAGTTCTGGTCACAAACCAAACTGGGCAAGAACCGAATCCAATTTTTCCAAAAAAGGTCAACATTGAACCTAACCCTTAAATTTGATTCAGTTCTCATCCAACTTGATTTGTGACCAGAATTAGGGCAAAAGAAAATCAAGTTCGTGAACTGAGGTACCACTGTAAGAGCATCACAGTGACATAAGAATACAGAACTAGCTGGGCGTGGTGGCACAGCTACTCAGGAAATTGAAGCAGAAGGACCCTAAGTTCAAAGGCCAGCTGGGCAATTTAATAAGACCCTGTGTCAAAAATTACAAAGCACTGAGGGTGTAGCTCAGCGGTAGAGTGGTTGCCTTAGCATGTGCGAGGCCCTGGGTTCCATCCCCAGCACCGTAAAAACAGAAAGAGCCCAAGGTTCAGAGATGGGCCTGCTGTGGTTGCACAGCTGATGAGGAGGCCTCTCGGGCCATCCCGTAAGCCCTAGCTCTGCTGACCCCCCGAGAGGCAAGGCAGGCAGGGGACCCCACGGCGTTGGCACCAAGCCTGGCACAGCATCCGGGAGGTGAGTGCAGCACAGGTTGCGCCTCCTCTAGGAGCAGGCAGAACTGAAGGTCAGGGCCAGCGAGTTCCGGGCCAAGGAGGAGCAGCTGGCCACCGAGAGGGACGCTGTGGAGCGGGAGCGGCAGGAGCTGCGGCTGGAGAAGCAGAAGGTCGAGGCCACCGCACGGAGCCTACAGCTCCAAGCCAAGGAGGTGGAGCACATGAGCAAGGTGCGGCTGGGCAGCTGCTGGGCTTGGGCCACCGAGTGACCCAGCCCTGATCCAGCAACCTCCCTGCAGGTGGCCTCCAAGAAGTATGAGGAAGGCGAGCAGGCGCTGTGCAAGGCCCGGCAGGTGCAGTCGGAGCAGCAGGCCAGGCTGCAGGGGGTGCAGCGGCAGCAGGAGTGGCTTCGGCAGCAGGAAAAGCACATGTACCAGGCAGGGCTCCTCCCCTCTCCCCCACCCCCTCGTGCGCAGCTGCCACCTTCCCTGCTGAGTCCTGTCTGGGGTTGGGAACAGGAGAACCTGAGCCTGGCCCAGCAGAGGCTACAGCTCGACCACGTGCGACAGGACTTGCCTTGCTGCCACCCAGAGCTTCCGCCCAGGGCCCGGGGCCCCGCACCCTCCAGCCTTCATGGTAAGAGGCTCTGAGAGGAGGACAAAGCTCAGCTGGCCCAGATCAGGGGTACAGGCAGGATCTGGCAGGCCCTAGCCATTCGAGTTAGGGGCACCTGGGTGTTACTGTGCATGGGTGTGAGTGGCTGTGTGTGCACGAGGTGCTGGGATCAACCCAAGGGCGTTCTACCACCAAGCTGCATCCTCAGTGCCCTCTCCCTTTGTATTTCTTAATTTGAGATAGGGGCTCAGTGAGTCACTAAGATACCCAGGCTGGGGTTGCACCTGGCATCTTCCTGCCCTGGGATTACAGGTACCACACCAACATCTTGTTAGTACTTCTTTTATCCCCCCACCTTTGTGTTGAGGATTGAACTGGAAGTCTTTGTGCTTAGCTATCTCCCTAGACCTGGTTTTTGTTTTGTTTTGTTTTTGGTACTGGGGATCAAACTCGGGTCGTTGCACTTGCAAGGCAGGTGGTGGAACCACTGAGCTAAATCCCCAGCCCTCCCTAGACCTGTTTTTTGGTTGAGAGGGTATTATGTGCTGGGAATGGTCATGCAGGCCTATAACCACAGCACTCAGGAAGCTGAGACAAGAGGATTGCCACAAGTTTAGGACCAGTCTGCATATGGAGACCCTTTCTCCAGAAAGAGAGAGGGTAGGGGAGAGAGCGCCTGCCTCTGAGTTGCCCAGGCTAGACTCAAACTTGCCATCCTCCTGTTTCAGCCTCCAGAGTGCTGGGATTACAGGAGTGTGGCATTGCTGGCTTATTACTGCTTTTTTAAACAAGTAATACATGTTAACTTCATGAAAATAAGTCAGAAATAAGAGAAAGATTTTGTTTGTTTGTTTGTTTTAATATCATCATCTTCAACCCCAGTCTGTGGCTTAGAGTGAACTATCTTTAACTCTTTTTTTTTTTCTTTTGGTACCGGGGATTAAACTTGGGTCCTTGTGATTGCAAGGCAGGTAGTGGAACCACTGAGCTAAATCCCCAGCTTACCTTTAACATTTTGGTGTCTAGTATTTTAGGCTTTTTCCTCCCAGTACTGGGAACTGAACCCAGGGTCTTCACACTGAGCTATATCCATAGCCCTTTTTTTGTTATATTGAGACAGTCTCATTAAGTTCCCCAGTCAAAGCTCAAACTTGTGAGTCTCCTGCCTTAGCCTCCCAGAATGTGCCACCACACCTGGCTTGGTGTGTATGGTTGTTTTGTTTTGTTGATTTTTGTTGTTTGTTTGTTTGTTTTTTGTACTGGGGATCAAACTCAGGTCCTTGTGTTTGTGAGGCAAACAGCAGAACCACTGAGCTAAATCCCCAGGCTTTGGTTTTTTGTTTTTGAGACAGGGTCTTCCCATATAGTTCAGGCTGGTCTTGAATTCACTATGTAGCTCAGGCTTGCCTTGAACTTGAAACGGTCCTCCTGCCTCAGCCTCCCTAGTGCACTGCAGGAATTACAGGTGTATGCCACCACGCTCAGCTCTGGGAGGCTTCTGAGAGTGGAAGCACCAGCCATGATGCCTGGTTTTCTGACCCCTGACTTCCTCCATACACAGCTGCCTCCGCCTTTGTGGTGCCTATTCCCACCTCCCATCAGCACAGCCAGCTGCTGACTGGCCCTGACCCCGCGCAGTTTCTCACCGAGCTGGTGCTGCTGAAGCACTCAGCTGAGCAGGTGAGTGTCCCCCAGACTCTCCTCCTTGTGGTCATGCTGCGGACCACACTGTGGAGCCCGTCTAGCTCACGGCAGAGGCAGTGAGGCCCGGGAGAGAGATAAGATAGACTGCTTGGTACCCAGCTCCTGAGACCTCTGCAGTTGGCCAGGTTCCTTACAAAGCACCTGGCACCAGGTCTTCTCATTACACCCCTAACGATCTCTGGTAATAGCGACGGCAGCCGTCACTCGGCATATCCCGTGTGCCGAGCTCGACGCCAGAGGCTTTGTATACCTCGTAAGCCTCGCCCAACACAAAGGAAACAGGCCGAGGGATGTGCGTGGGGTCATGTGCTGAGCAGTGGAGGACAGACCTCGGCCCGTCTCTCCTCCCAGGCTGTTCGGGCTCCCTGCCGCCCCCAGAGCCAGAGGGAATAAGTGGGAAGGGTTCCCAGAGTGAGGGGTGGCTCGGCAGGACCCAGGTCCCCCTGTCAGCACACAGAGCTGTGAGCTCCCATTTCAATGTGCCTGGCAGGACCGGGACTTCTTGGAGAATGAAGCTTTCTTCCTAAAGGCCCTGAAGAAAGCACCCTACAATCTGCCATTCCACTCAGCCTGAGAGGGGTGGCTGCGCCCACACTGGAGCACCGAGACCCAGCAGCTCTCCTGCCACCCACAAGCCATCAGCTCCTCGGGGAGGGGCACAGGAAAGCAGGGTCTCTTCCTGGAAGCGGTGCCAGCATTTCCTCTTCAGGAGCTGCAGCTCACTTCTCTGGGGCTCCCAAGTGGAACAGGAGGCTGAGGGAGTCACGACCACTAAGGCCAACTCAGATGCAGGGCTGCCTGGGGGTCCAAGGAGGCGGGGGCCTCCCCCAGCCCCAACCAGGTCCCGAGCACCCTCCCCTCTTCTGTGCACAGCTGCAGGGGGTCTTTGTGCCTGGGCCTCTTCCGAGTCCAGGGGTGCCCTGGAGATTTCCACCCCTTCCCAGCAGGGACACAGAAGGGCCTTCTGGCCTCCTGGGAGGCCATGTGGATGGGAGGGTGCTGTGCCCAGATTCTTCCTCACAGTGTGATGGGCTCCTGGATCCAGCGGCTCCTGAACCCCCTGTTCTCTCTGACGGGCCTGCACAAAGTCCACCCCTCAGCTCCCTACTGACTGCCTGGCTCAGCGTGAACCTGGCATCTTCAGCTGCTGCTTCCTCCTCATCCGGGCCCCCATGAGAGGTGGAAGCAGGGCTGTGGGCAGCGGCAGGTATGTGGGGAGGGACAGAGAAGGAAGCCGGCCAGAGCCTGTGCCCCGGAGCAGAGGGAGGAAGGAAGTGTTGGGGACCTGTGGGGGCTGCACACACCCAGGCTGCTGTTGCTCACACGCCTTTGCAATCAGTGGTGTTCCCAGTCCAGCCGAGGGGCATCAGGAAAGGGGGCGGCGGCCAGTGAGCAGGAGGGCAGAGGAAGAAAGGGCCCTGTGGGTGGGTGGGCAGGAGTGGCGCCATTTGTGTATCTGCCTTTCAGAACAGCTTTCCGAGGGACCTAATTTATTTGCCAACAGTTTCCAGCTTTGGTCTCAGACACATTAAACTGCTCTGTTCTTTTTCCATTACTGTTTTTGGTTTTGTTTTGTCTTCGTGGTCCTGGAGACTGAGCCTCGGGCCTTGCATGCCCAGGGTGAGTGCTCTGCCACTGAACCCCACCCAGCCGCTCACTGAAGAGTTTTGTGGACCACATTTGCATTTATGCAAAGGCACTGTGGCTGTGGGGTGGGGACCAGACGGGAGGGGCAGGAGTGGGGACAGAAGTGTTAGAAGATTGTTTGCACTGGTGCAGGATAGGGGACAGAGCAGGACCGTCCCCAGCGCAGTGGTGAGTTGTCACAGAAAAGTATCCCCTTGGCACCCAGTGTCCGGATGCAGGTCAGAAAGGAAGCTGTGTCGAGGAGGACCCGGGGACCGTCAAGCAGAGACACTCCACAGACACTTGGTGGTGACATTTTCCTCGGTGTCTGTGACTGCTGAGGTGTGACGGGCAGCCTAGTTATCCCCTTACATCGCCTCTCTCCAGGCTGACATTTGGGGTGCATTTGGGAGTGAGTGTTGGGTACCTGCTGGGGTTTTTTCTCCTTCAGAATGGTAACAACGCAAGGTCATAAACGCTTCCTTCAGTTACTTCTAGAGAACTTGTGGTAGAAAGTAATAATGGCAACATTGGTGTCCAGGTTCAAGACTTGTTCGTATATATTATTTGTTTCAAGTTACTCACATAGAAATCCAGGATCGGTAGCTGGCAAACAAGCCCCATGCCTAAGGGCCTTGCAGACAGGGACAGAACAGGATGGAGGAGCAAAGGCCGGGGGAGCAGCAGTCCTTCCTACCTGCCTGGATGCCCTGTGTCCTTGGCTGTAGAGGGGCCGGGCTGGGGTGGCTTTAGGGACACACAGAAGGGGATCCAGCAACAAAAGCAAAAGAAAAAACTGCAAAGGGGGCCATGATGTACGCACAACCCAGGTCTGCCAGCGCCTTCGGTTCCATTGCCTTCAGGAAGAATTGCACAGTAAGCAGCAGCAGCTCCTTAGGGACAGGTCTGGCCTGGATGCCGCTGGCCTGTGGCTCCCGTTGCGCCTCATCAGACAGCAGTGTGCAGGGGATTAGAAATGATCGTGAGGTTTAGCCATTTGGCTGCATGCTCATTTCCTGCTGGATAGAGAGACCCTTCATTCTACCCAAGTATGTAAGAGTCAAGCTTCTGCTGGTGCCAGAGCAAATGACCCTGCCCCTAGCTCCATCTTGGGATGTCAGGGAAGGCTTCCTAGAGGAACCACTCTTCTGATGTTTCCCAGGCCACAGAGGAAAAAGTGAGGTAGTAAAAAGCAGAAGTGATGGCATGTGCAAAGGCCCTGCAGGGTGTGGAGAGGAAGTGAAAGTCTTCTGCGCTAAAAGCTCATATTCCGGGCCAGAGCACCAGGGGATCGGGTAGAAGAGAATCCAAACCACTTGACTACCAAGTTTTACCTCGTTAGAACTGGATCCCAAGAGCAATGCAGATCTTTGCATGACATGTCCCTGATGCTTTTGTGTGGCCAATGGCAAATTGGAGATGATCGAGAAGAGCTACACTTAGATCGGGCTCACTGCCATGTTAATTCAGCTCTAACGACCCTACAGTGTCATTATCTGTCTTTTTCCCCAGTGAGAGAACTACAAGGGCAATGGGAAGGAAGATCACAATCTGAAATTTAAATCCAAGCAATCTGAGTCCAGAATCCGGGCATGGACCCTACTCCTTCCTGCCCCACCCCACCCCTCGCCCCTGATTTTGCACGGCCAGGAAGCCCGGGATGTCTCATTCAGGGTTCAAAGATCTAGACGGAGAAACCCAGGGTGCTCCTGGCGTGTGCCGCCCCCTGGTGGCCATTCGTAGCTCTGGCCAGCCAGGCACCAGGCACTTCCGGCTTCTGCAGTCCCCGCCCGCCTTGGCAGAAGGTTTTCAGGCCACGGAAGCAGTTTTCGTTCACTGCTGCGGGGCGGGGCCGGCGCGCTGG